ACTTCACAGAAGCACCTACACATCCACTCCTTTACTGTGAGAGGAGCCAAGCAAAGAACGAGGGAAAAGTGAATGTCACGAAGAATGGAGGCCTGGAGGGACTGTAGAGGGGATGGACTTTCTGGCCACTGGAGAGGAGCAAGGAAGACTAAACTAGAGGGAAGCAGCTGTTTGTGTTTCCTGGGGCTGCCCTACAAAGAGACCATAAACAGGATGAATTAAAACAGCAGAAATGTGGGCCAGCTGGTGGTGGATGGGTAAAGCAGCTGAATCCCACATGGCAACTGTGTGATTTGAGTTCTGGACGGGGCTTGCGTGTATCCATGTTCAAAATCCTGAGAGAAGGGGCCAGCAGTTGGCGTAAGGCTGTGTCACTGGACTCCCATGTAGTCGACCGTGGTTCGTGTCCCGGACCCAGTGGCTTAAAACTCACGCCAGGCATGTGTGCGTGCGTGCCCAAGATCCCGAGAGGAGAATGGAGGACAAGGGATTGCGGCGTGGCCATCCCCCCTGGGGGGTGATTTCTCGCTTTCCGTCTCTCTGTCTCTCTCTGTCTGTCTGGTGGGCACACGTGTCCTATGGCTAAAACCTCTCAAAAAAAAAAAAAAATCCTGAGAGGAGAATAGAGGAGAAAGGATTGTGGTATGGTCATCTCCCCCAGGGGTTGGAGGGGATGCTTTCTCATTTTCCATCTCTCTCTATCTCCAATAAGCGCACACACTCTGCAGAAAAACAAAAAATAAATCAGAATGTATTGTTTTAAAGTTCTGGAGGCCAGAAATACAAAAACAAAATGCAGACAGAAACCATGCTCCCTCTGACACCCATGGAGCAGAATCCTTCCTTGCCTCTCTCCTAGCTTCTGGGGAATGTCAGCAATCCTCAGTGCTCCTGCACCTGTGCTGCAGCTCTTCAGTCTCTGCTCCCACCATCATGTGGTAGACTCCCTTCATGGATCTGCATCTGTTCTTCTCTTCTCATAAGGACACCAGTCATATTGGATTAAGGCCCCACAATACTCAATCTGACCTCATCTTAACTAATTGCATCCACGATGACCCTATTTTCAAATAAGGTCACATGCTGAGGTTATGAATTCAACATATCTTTTTGGGGGACAATTTAACCCAAAGGAAAAGTGAACATTAAATGCCTACTGAGCATTGGCATTGTGCTCCTTTGTATGTGCTACTTCACTTAAATCCAAGTCACTGGCATGTACTCAGGGAAATTCATGGGACTAGTCTCACCTTTGGTGTCACTAAACCTATTGCCCCATCCCATCTTCAGTAAGTTCAGCTGAGCCCTTAAGTTAATTTCTTCCTTTCATGAGATAGAGAAAGAGGGAGAGAAAGAGGGAGAGATGAGGACCCCCCAATAGGGTCTTGCCATGCTTTAGTTCTCCCATATGTCAACCTCCAGTCAACCAGGATTATAGATGTACTACAGGCATGCCCAGCATATTCAGAGGGACCAGGAACCAAACCCACGACCTTCTCATATGACTCCAGAATCAGATACCAGTGCCATACCACCTGCACCACTTTGGCTAGGCTGTCTGGTGTATTTTCATTGCTATTCATATTTACAGTCCTGCCTCAGTATCCACTGGGGATTTGTTTCAGGAAATCCCCGATGTACACTCAAATTCACAGGTGTCCTAGTCTCTTATATAAAATGGTATCATATTTGCATATAACCTTCCCCCTTCCTGCTATGTACGTTAAATCATCTCTTGATTACTCATAAATCTAATACAATATAAATTCTATATAAATAGTTGTTATACTGTATTGTTTAAAAAAATGTCAAGGAAAAAAGTCTGTATACTTAGTACAGATACAACCATTGTAGGTCTAAACACATAGGACACATCAGTAATGACGTAACCTTTTTTTAAGTCTATTTCTTCCATGAACAGAGACACAGAGAGAGGTAGCATCCCCAACAGATTCCCAAAACCATGACCTACCCCCCTCCACTCCACTTTAGCCAGTCTTGGATCATGAGCACGCACATGACTGGCATACTCAGGTCTCTGGATGCAAAACTGGAACCTTTTCATGTGAGCCAGCCTCACAGAGCAGCCTATTTTACCACCAAACCACTATCTGGACTCTGATGTAACATTTTTGTTCCATGGTTGCTAGGGCCCAGGGATGTGTAACTTGTAGGTAGAAGGCCAGCTCTACTCATGTATGTGTTATCTCGTTCATATTTGTTGTTATTTCTGTGATGCTACATTCCCTGCTTAGTGTCCCTGCCTTCTCCTCACTTTTGGCCATTTGATGAATAGTTCCCTCTGGTGTGGTATAAATCTGATCCTAGCTCTGTCCTGAAGGCCATATCTCAAGAAAGATACACCACTCCATTAAAATCCTTTGGTGGTTTTCTAGCATGACTACAGTTATATCATGTTATCAGGGAACTTCCACAATTGTCTGTTCCTAGAAATGAAGTCATGCTACCAAATAGCTATGAAAACTCACAGAGTCTAGACAATGGTACAATTCATTTCTTTTCCCATTGTATCACCAAACAGTCCATTCAGAAGACCTGTCTATTGGAGGTTTCCCTCCTTCCTCCCCTTTGCCATCTTTATGCTTTTCTCCCCAGACAGCTGGATCCAAGTTAAGAGGCAGCTCAACTCCTTCAGGATCTCACGGTTATCACCATATCTGTGGCTGATAGCAGTGCCTCTCACGACATAGTGGGGATTCATCTGTCTAATCAAAGACTCTTGGTCAGACATACAAGTCTATCCTACAAGGGGAATGCTAAGGGACAGAGAGGAAG